GACGGAGTCTGGTTTGTTACATTCCGGACGGGTGGCTTCTCCATCTTTATCAGAACTTTGGGATGACCAAGACACACACCAGTCCAGCTAATTGCCGATTATCGTCGATAACAGAAGTCTCAACGTTCATATATAGGGCACCACTCCGTCTAGCAACGATGGTGGCTACATCTCTAATTTCTAACTACATTTGCGGTTTAGTCTGCATGTTCGATCAGCAGCTTACTCCATATACTGTGTGAAGTGATAAGTGCAGAGTATGAGTCTTTTTAGCAGCGCATATTAATATTGTTCGCTCACGCAAAAAAGAGCTTAAAGACTGTGCCGAACAGCACAATCTACTTCAATCATAGTGTTCTACCTGGCAACACGAAGGACTGCGCATAAATCTGAGCAATATTGACACACTCAATTGTTCCGATTCCTGTCTACCGCAAACCCACAATAATTGATCATTATACCGTTGTCTTTCGAGGATCGTGAACAGCTTAAGGTGCGAGTGACAAGGCTTACGAACGGGATGATCCTCTAATGTGTCTTTACTTGAATGTGCATTTCAAATTTGTCATTTTATACCGTAAGGTAAATTGCGTCATCACAAATATGGTGGCAGGCTCTAACGTATGATTAAACGTTGTTGCGATGCATCTTTATAACAGTACTGTCTCTGTGAAGTAGTTTGTGACGGTGCTTGGCTCCTTTTATGCTTATTTATAGCACATTTCGTTCATTTTCTGTTCTCGTCACCATTTTTTGGTCCAGAGATACGGTACCAGGACAGTATTAGCTCGTTGAAAGCATTGCTGAAGCTCAGAAAGCTTCATACCGTCCATCCTTCTCGGAGCGCCCCTGGAACGTCACTAATATTCCACAACTTAAAAAATTCTGTCAATCCATTTTAATCATACATGCAGGTCGGGCCGCTGATTGCCTTAGGATCAATAAGACTTTAGCTTACAGCAACGACAATGGCTGGGTCTGCTTCGTTTTTCGGCATATCCGCGCTTAAAGATATCACTTGGCGGTACGTCATAGTAGAAGCTCCTAAATTCTGAGCTTTCAACTCCAGCTATTCGATTGTATCATCGACGTCGAAAACTGGAGGCTAGCAGTGATTTCACACATCGTATTTAAATTACGCTTCTTTGTATTCGGAGCTTCCATGAATATGGTAGGTTTTTACCGATTATTTGAATTTAATGATCCTTAGGATAAACGCTGGACATTCAGAAATTAACAAATAAGCGACGTTATCGAGAATGAAAGAAACTCGTAGTTGATGCGCTTTTTACATCACCACGCTTTTTTGGTATAAAATAATTCCGATTGTAATCAAGGGCACAATAAAATGCCTTCCTCGGCTCGGTCTGCCAATAGCACATGCTAGTTCAGCAAGCTATGCTAGCAGAAGAATGCTGATTAAAATCGATGCAGACTTTCCCTACTTGATGCATGCGTGTCACTTGCTGCCTGAAGTGACTAAATGCATACATATGTCAATCACCACAATAGCTCATCATTCCATATCATATTGTGTCTTTTACTTCCAAGCAGTAGCAGATATCTCGCTCGATCCCTGATAGCTTACAACAGCCAATTTGATATTGTAGCATAGCCTCATCCGAGACCAAATATCGTTATTTCCGACGAGTTGCTTGACGACTTTTTACTTTTTCTTCTAATTCTTCCCGAATCTTTCGAAGACATTCACGCTTGGTTGTTGCTTATACAAGCAAAAGAGAAGAAATTGCTTCAATAAGGAAATCATGGAAGGAACTTAATTCCTTGTCATTGCAGAATCCAAGAGTATTTTTGCGGGTTCTTTCATCGATTGTGAGACCATGTGAGGTGATGCAGTCTGATGTGTAGAACGTCTAGTGATACTATTTGTTCACGTGTATGTGCGTCTACCCAAGCTTGTAAACCTCGAGATCGAACTTACTGTAGTGCGCAATTGCAGCAATGCTATTGCAAAGTTACTTGGTCGGCCCAAAGCATGCTTCACATTCATAATCCATAGCCAATCCCGGGTCAACCATATTAGCGGGCACGCTTTCTTGCTCTCCAGGTAAACAAGCTACAGTGGTATGCAAAGCAGCAATAAATGCGTCAACTGGTTTTCGAGCAATTTCAAATGATAATTATGAGTCGAAATGCCGTCTCAGTGCGAAAGCCTTCCTCTTTTTACGCTTTCTAGAATCATCGTCCGCAGGACGGCATGGTCATGACAACCACGCTCGATAAAAGGACCGAAGCTCCATCTGTAACAAATCCGATAGCTACGATCAAGATATACTAACACTGAAAATGAATCATGACGTACTTGCATGTTTGAATTTAAGTCATCTTCGTTGTTCCGGCTTGCGATTTTGTACCGGGTCGTTGCTTCTGATATTAACCCACGATCCTTGAGTGTCTAACGTACAGCTACATCACATTCTGCAGACGACGAGGACTATGTGTCGTGCTACCTCACGCCTTTCTAAGCGCAAGAAAGGACAGACTATCGGTAATGGATTCGGCGAAATCCCGTCAGGTGGGAGGTTAACTACTACTACACAATGCTGTTCAATTTGGTACAAATTCACAACCCTGGTAGAATAAAGCAGAAAGGTTATTAGCATTCCACTGTCTGCGGTGTTTTTATAAAATCTGTATGCTCTACATTCGATCATTTCTACCCCAACGGTTGTAAAAACTCTTACACGACAACAATGTAATGTCGCATCGAAACTGCTAAAAGTGCACAAAGAATGAATAGTGGAAGGTAACTCAGTGGTTTTACACCCACACTTAGTGCGACCTCTCAAACGTAAGGCAACTCTTTACCGACACTTCTGCTCATAATCTGCAGTGATTCAGAACAATCTGTAAATGCATGGCACCCACCACGCATGAAGTGGGTCAACAATTTGCGCCGCCTGTAGCACGAGATACATCAGAATCGACATCTGTAGAGGATGAATGCTCTAACTTCGCTCCGATACATTCGACCTAAATTGCAACGCAAGACGTAGGACTGATAACCCGAGAAGATTCACTACTTTTCATTTAAGTGGTAGTAAAAAAGGGAAATCAGATCCGATTTTTGCAGGAGCCCGTAAGGAATGTGATTGGCCAATTATAATGCAGGTAATTGAACCCTACTCATCTGTGCGAGGTCGAGCATTGTTGCTAAAGCGTTGCTAGTTTAGACGCATTGTCATCGCTGGCATTAGGCCGGTACATAATACTACCGGATAGCCGAGCGCAATGGTCACGCCAAGGTCTGATTGCCAGTATGGTGTAATCCACGTGTGAGCTGCACTTTAGTTCTATAACGAAGCTGCCATTCGGAGCTCAGTCATTGAGGATTCAACACGATGTCTCGAAGTCTAAAAGCATGCAAACATACATGGGAACTTGCCATGCTCGTTTTTGCTGTCATATAAAGAATCACAAGACTAGCATTTACTAATGAGAAGCATCCAATTACTCCTGGCTTCACGTTTCCATCGTCTAAGCTAGGACTGATTGTAGTAGTTTCATAGAGAAAAAAAGTATAGAAGGGCAAAACCTTTCGGGTAGCATTTTGTGAGCCAGCAGCATTGCAAGTCTTAATGAGAACAGGCGGTGCAAATTGATGTGGCTAAGATTGAAGTACTTATGGGCCACTGCGACTTGTTCTCCAGCCAGCGACGGTTGTACACATGCTTGCAGAGTCAATTCGTAGAATCCACGCAGTGCGGACATGCGCCTAAGTTCCTTATCCGGCGGATGTTGACGACGAAGACAGGTTGGAGCTCACCACCTCAGCCATACAAGCCGCGTCATGCAAAAGTTTTAGTTGAAGTGCGGGTTCCGGAATATTAGTAGTGGCTGACATCTCTTTGAGACAGCGGTCGAAGCACAGGTCAGCGAGACCAAGCTTAACGTAGTAGCTATCTTACAAGCAAGCAATGTATAGGGTTAAATGATAGGCTCTGCATGTTCGCGTCCGAAGTTTGTCTTAAAGATACGTCTGTTTGTGTCGTGCGCGCTCTGCTCAGATATATTTAAGCTGTCGCTGCTACTTCAATTAGTAAAGCAGCGAGTGTTTTCCGGATACAAAATACGTACATGAAGGCCAGACAACTAGTGCTGTCTCGTCGGCTTTAATGCGGCTCAACATGTTTGAGTAAATTGCGGACTTAAAGAAGATCCGACAATGTTTGAGTCCAATTGTCGGATCTTCTGCTCTCTGTAGATGCAAACCAGTACAGTGACCATTGCTGCCTCAAGCGCACGCCTGGTCCCGGAGAGACCGAGGACCAGCTGGTGCTATTGTAGCACGAAAACAATAGTAGACAGATGATCGGTCGCGGCGGTCGTGTCTCCCTGGTGGCGTCTCTTCATCGACACACGCCTTCACCGTCTGCCAAAATACACATCGAATCCATGAGGCTTTCGCCAGCGCCAGCAAGGTATCCGCTAGCAATCATTCGCTAAGTGCGACGCGCGCACGCACGCCCTCGGACCACCCGTTAGCGACACCAAATCGTGGTGGACCATGTCGGATCATCGAGCGTTATCGTGCATCGCCCCGGCGATGGCGCTCCGTCCGGCTTCATTTCAGTGCGCGGTCTCGTCTTTGCTCGCTCCCTCCTCGTACGACAGGGAATATATGATGGATTGGTGCTTCAGGCTGTGACAAGAACTTTTGTCAAAGCGAGAGTCATAAAGTGAGGGTGATGAACCGACACGTTGTAGTAGCACCGTGAGGTGGTCGGTCCAGTGCGCCTCAGTCATTGGACGGCATCCGCGACCACGAAAGACGGGGCTCACACATATAATTTATAATGGCCCATCTGCCTGGGTCTCTTGCGTCTGTCCTATAGCCGCCACGTAACAGTTTCAAGGCGGACCGCTGCAATGGGTTACCAATCTCACTACAGCATTTGCCCAAACGCCGAACTGCCCGCAAGAAGCTCGCGGCATCGACCGAATCTCGGAACTGAGCGGCTTGCAGAAGGTACCAGACGATGAAGTCCACTTCCAACATGGAGCCGCCGGAGCTGGCCGTGTCGGAGCAAGACCGGGACCTGTTACGTGAGCTAGCGGAGACCCTCGCAGTGCACAACATTCAGCAGTACAACACGCTGCTCAAAACCAAGGACGGGTTTGCTGACAACCAGTGCTGGAAAGAGCTGCGGCGCAAGGACAGCGTGCGTATCTATCGAGAGCGCACCCGTCACAACGGCTTACCGTCCACCCCGTCCCTGCTGCTGCTTGGGACGGTGGATGGCACGCTGGACGACGTCATGTACGGCACTGTAGCCACCACGGACGAGGCTATCCGGATCAAGTCCACGTGTATCCAGGACGGGATCATTGACAGTAAAGTGCTGCATGAGCTGGTGCGGCCGACGGTGGAAGACCCGTTCCACCACGTGAGCGTCAAGTGGCGCCTCTACAACAACCAGCGCGACTACGTGTCGCTGGACACCACGGGAATCGCGTACACAGTCAAGCGCGAGCGCATTGGGTACAACATATCGCACTCGGTGGCATTTGCGCAGATCCCCGGCATGGAGGACACGCACGGCGTCGAGCGCGGCAACATGTCTGTGTGCTCTCTCTACCTGCAGAAGACCCCCACGATAGTGGAGTGCTACGTTCGCGGCTTCTTTGACTTCCACACCCAGAACGAGGTGGTAAACACCATGTCACTCCAGGCCATTGCGACGCAGTGGGCGTGCTTCACACGGAAACGTCGTTGTGCGCTGCTGAAGAAGTTGGTCTGGCGAATGCGCAAGCGATCGAACTGTACGGCGTCGTTGTCCATTAATAACGATCGACTGTCGTTTATCCAGCAGTCGTCAGCATCTGTGCGGAACAAGTGTGCCTTGTGCTCGAGGAGATTTGGCTTCCTGGGCACAAGCTGCAAAACCTGCAAGAGCTGTTTACGCCAAGTGTGTGCACGATGCAGCTCGAAACAGCTCGTCTGTGTCGTGGCTCCCGACCAGCGCTCGGTGCTCGAGAAGAAGCGAAGCTTTTGCTCTACTTGTCTTACAGAGGCAGCCAACAGCGATGCGCTGGAAGTGGCACGGGAGGAACTAGCCAGCTCAAAAGTGTACCATGACATGTGCGCGGCCAAAGGCAGGGAAATGGCGCGATCGTCTAGCGCTAGTTTTGTGCAGAGTGCAGTGTCCCGCCACAGCGGGATCGATAGTGAAGGTTGCATCGGAAGGAAGTCGATGTTCATGTAGAGTAACTTTATCTAGCAGTTTGTCAAATGTGCGTGCACCTGCGTGTACATTATAAAATTAAATCATCATGACTGAACCAATATGGATGACACTAGAGCTACTACTGTTGCTTGATGAGTTGTGTCACCTACCGACTCGTTATTTCCAAATGAATTGGTTTGTCTTAATGTGTGCAAGATATTTCTTGGTATGCAGGTATGAAGCTGCATTGCAGCTGTAGATGTCTGCAGCTGCCTAGCTCTGATGGTCTAACGTGCACACTAGCCAACGTGCCGGTGCTTAACAACATCACAAACGATTGAGGGTGCTACCGCCTGCAACGCTCGGCATTTCTGTGGCTACTTTGCGAAAGTCGCTCTTACAAAAGATCATGAAGTGCAATCTTTTTCTTGGATGAATTTAATGCTCGACTACGAGGCATTTTCTTGCAGCCCGATGTGAATCCCTTTTCACCAGACAAGGCAATAAACTAGGAGAATAGCCCGGCCTTCACACCGTCTTGCGCCTCGAGACGATACTGCATAAAGTGCTGAGGCGCACCGCATCCGTTTTTCCTGTAGACCTCAAAAAGATTCGTGGGTGGCATTCCCTACTTCTAAGACAGGCGCATATGTTTAGCGCTTGATACTGTGGGTACGTATGCAAGTTAGACCCCCCCCCAAACACAGCAGAGCGCGATTCATTGTTTAAATGTACTCACTGCTGTGATTCAGTACTAGCATGCTCTCTTCTGAGGTACCCTTTGTAAAACGCGCGTTTCATCTCGGCCGCTGTTGCGAACAGGTTTTGTTTGCAAAAAGTAGCGTCTGTCCCAGAGATTTGGCGAAGTTTTGCTGCCTTTATTCGCCCACTTAGCTCGGGCAAGGAATCCATGATTGCCCCTGGTGTGTATGTGGCAGCTCTTTTATGAAGCTAAATGGCTACCACGCATATCCCAATCATGCGCAACTGCGGCACCAGCCGCCTGGAGATAATTCTGCGATTAAAGTTCTTCGCTGCCGCTGACAGCTTCGATCGAAAGTTAGTCTCGGGCAGTGGTCAGCATTGCGGAACATACGTGTGGCTTCCGAGGTCAGGCTTGCAGGGCTTTAGGGCGACTCGGACTGAGGGTTCGCGTTCATCTCGTGTCGCTCATTTATGCTATGCTACTGCTGTTCCATTCCTGATCATAGCAGCCGCCAAAGACAGCGTCTCATTTACAAAGGCGCTTGTCGACACGTAAAAAAGTTGCCACATCAAATCAAACAAGACAGCTTGTTTGCTCATTGTCCTGCAATACAGCGCTACTTTAATTCGATGACGCATGATGCTGTTCGTCCATCCCTAGATCAGCCATTACTACGGGCACCTCAGCACTACCTGTACGAAACCATTTTCGACTAGCTGTAACGGGGTGAATCGTTACATAACAATTTATAAGAAATTGTTAATAGAATACAACTATAAGAGTTACATTCTCAGAATATTGTCATAAGGACAAATATTCTGTAGCACTTACGAGTAGTTCCTAATTGGTTGATATAGGCCATTATATCAACCAACGAAGACGCGCCACGACAGACGCACGCAATGAGTGGTGAGCAGATAACTGATTTACACATTTGTATTTAGACATAGTTAGATGAAGATAAATAGTGATTTATTGCAGACATTAACTATTATAAATACAGTTCTACTTTTTACTTTAACCAAGTACTCGCTTCTTCTTACCGTCTTCCTCTGCACGTACGAGTGTACGTGAAGTTACGAGGCACCGTTCTGTCATCAGAATAAGTAGCTTGTACTGTCACCAGTACAGACTTCAGGGTGCCCCGTTACACCTGGTAGCACTTCGTAGTCCGTCCAAGGACCACGTTTACATCTAACATGAATATGCTGGATGATGAAGATGACCAAAGCTTTCACGCTACGCGTGACGGCTACTCCCATTTGAGCGATGTCGAATGGGATGCGGTTGAACGGATGGGTTCAACCATGGGCATCCATGCTAGAGGCTCTCAATAGAGATGCCCAACATGCTACTATCGCCAAGTTCATTCAAAATGAACTTGACGCCGAACGCGAGAAAGTAGCCTTGCTTCACCAACAAGGTTCTCAACAAGCAGAGTTGTTGAGAGAACAGGGTGCTCAACAGTTTGAACTGTTGAGACAGCAGCAGGCTGCTGCTGGTGGGTCGATGCACTCGCGTCGACCCGAGACTTTGAAGATTGACATCTCCAAGTATAGGGGAGTCGAAGAGGACTCCCTCTTGAGATGGTTCGTCGAATTGGATGACGCCATAAGGGCGCGTCGCATCGACGACGGGGATATGCAAGTTGCATTTGCCCAGTCAAATCTGGCAGGACGTGCCAAGACTTGGGCACTGGGGCTCAAGTTGCACGACCCATATGCGTTTGGGTCGTTGGAAGTCTTCAAGTCGCGGCTCAGACAAACGTTTGAACCGCCTAGAGCTGAGTTCAGAGCTCGAACCGAACTCTTGAAGCTCAAACAGGGTAAGCGTGATGTGCACGCTTACGCTCAACATATACGACATCTCACGAGTTGTATAAGTTCCAATCCAGTGGATGAACACACGTTGGTTTCGGTGTTCATGCAGGGTCTTGCGGATGGTCCCGTCAAGACTCACCTGTTCCGGCTTGAACTAGATTCACTAGAACAAGCCATTTCCATTGCGGAGCAGGAAGACTTCAGTCTGAGACAGGCTCGCGCCAGCTCGACATCATATCGTCAACCGAGACGATATGACAGCGGAGGTCCAGAGCCGATGGAACTCTGTTATGTAGAGAGCGAGAAGGCTCGCTCTACAGGCTACAAGAAGTTGCAGAGATGCAACAGATGTCAAAAGACAGGACACTACGCTTACGAGTGTAGTGCCCCTCGTCCAGTGTCTCGCAACACTGGGCGTAGTAACCGTCCACCCATGAGAAAGGGGCAGGGACGAGGGTCCGCTGTTGGTGCAAAGACGCAACAACGGGATGGACCGTCAAAAAACGGACAGGATCAGTAGGTGCGGAGCACCCTACTGATCCAGCAACGTCAAGAGAATTTGTAGGCCTCTTGATGAAGGTTGCTCCCAACACACAAACGTTGTGCGTTGCTGCTCTAGGTAATGAGGTCTCACTCATTACCTTGAAACTCGAAGTGACGAATAAGTTGTCCCTTCGAGCTCTAGTCGATAGTGGGGCGTCCAACAATTTTGTGCGACGCCAATCGCTAGAAGATGGTCACTTCAAGTTCAGTGAATGTGACACACCTCCTACGAGGATGACGGTACGTCTTGCGACAGGCGCATCCGTAACCGTCATGAAGCGTATAGTGAAGATCCACTATACGCTAGAAGATGCCCAATATGACGATGACTTTATCGTATTGGATTTGGATGACAAATTTGATGTCATCCTTGGAATACCGTGGCTTAGAAGGTACGAACCACGAGTAACCTGGCAACAACGAACAGTAACGATGCCTGCCGCTTGTTCATCAGATGGCCATCTGATGAACGTTTTGGAGCGTCCACAAGCGTGTGGATGTACTACGAGTGAGTGCGATGGCCTCACTTTCGGTACGGTCGTTAGTACGACTGCACAAAACCTTAGTGTAACAAACGGTTACACTTCAGAGCAAAGTTCCGGCGGCTGTGAGGAAACACAGGCTGCGCCGAAGGTCCACCACTCGAATAAGTCGAGTGGACTGGGACAAAGATGTATCCTTAATGGGGAACATCTAGAAGAGAAACAATCGATCGCTCAGGTTAATCGAAACGATAATCCTAGATCGACTGGAGGGTCTTTCGTAGAGGATCTCGCTGTGGTTGCGCAACCCCAGCTAGAGGAAGTAAAGGGAATAAGTCCCAAGATTACAAATACGGCGGAAATAAGTTCCCCGAAACCCGCGGGAATAAGTCCCCGGGAAGCCGAAGGAATAAGTCCTTCGGAGCCTGAGGGAATAAGTCCCCAGGAAATGACAGAGACATTGAATGTCACAGTCAATAACGGATCAAGTGTAGGCGCTTATACACTTGATCTGATTGCGCCTCCGAAGTTGACTTCGGAGATCACTCAGTTGCCAACGCTCGAACATAAAGGTTCTTGCGTGATCTGCGTAGTGGCAAAGTCAAGCAGATCTGCATACTCGTCGCTGACGACGAGTGTGTAACCGACATAAGGTCAGCAACAGTGTTTACTGAGAACGAGAGAGTTCTCAGTAGTTCATCTATGGACGAGAGTGTCCTCGATGAAAAGACACGAATTGAGCGATATGACTCCCAATCGTGGGAATCGCTCAAGAAAAATCCTCTCTATGAAGATTTGGTTGAATTCAAGGATGTATTCCCTGAAACTGTTCCGTGCGAATTACCGAAGGATAAAGGTACTCGACCAGAGGTCGAGCTTAAACCAGGCTCGAAGTACTGTGTCATGAAGCAGTGGCCACTGCCTCGTGAACAAGTACTTGCGATCGACAAGTTCTTTGCCGATCGTTTAGCTGCGGGCCATGTGAGGGAATCAACTTCCCCACATAGCTCTCCGACCTTCTGTGTGCGAAAAGCAACAGGAGGGTGGCGGATAGTGCACGCGTTCAACAAATTGAACGCTGCAACGGTACCGGCTCAGACGCCGATACCGAGGAAGGACGTAATCATTGATGGTATGTCAAAGAGTACCATCTTTTCGTCCATGGATTTGATGGATGGCTTCTATCAAATCCTTATGCGGGAACGGGATATACCCTATACCGCAGTTAGCACGCCTAGCGGCATGCTCTGGGAATGGCTAGTAATGCCACAAGGGCTCAGTAATGCCCCGGCCACGTTCAACAGATGTGTATCACATCTGTTGAGACCAGTACGAGAATTCGCGCCGAGTTATTTCGATGACGTATTCATCCATAGTCGAGCTATGGATGGAAAGTCGGACGTTGAGGTTCACAGGTACCACGTCCGACAGGTTCTTACAATCATGCGAAAGCATCAATTGTATGCAAACCTCAAGAAGTGTATATTT